GAAATCACACAAGATTACTTCGTGTAACGCTCACTAACACTACCAACGTAGAGGATATCCTGTAATAGCTTAGGTCTACTGGTTAAGAGTTGACTCCAAACATGTAAGTATATATCAAAACAATAGTGTTCCAGTATTCGTTCACTTTCTTTATATAGGCATTATATTTCCTATTATCTTATATTGAATGTTGAAAAGCTTTACTTGTCTGAACAGAGAACCACATGCTCCACTGTGACTGCGCGACGAGGGTTACCTACAGCCACGAAAATCCTACTGGCCAGCCACTTACTGAAACCAGATTGGGACGTAAGAATACTGCCTGACAAACCGTATTCTGAGCTCAATCTCTGACAAATCTCGCGAGAAGCTCTTTTGCGGAAAAAATATCATTGTGCAAGGTGCACCTGTAGAGACGGACCCTAATCACACAAACTCTGATATAAGGGAACGGAAATTCATCAAGCAGTCCCTGAAGCTCAAAATCATATTGACTCAACAAGTGGTGAGACTAGTCAAGGAGAACGGAGATCCGGGACTCCGGCTGATGAAGATAACCTTCCAATCCTCCCATTGACGGCTGCAATTTCGGAAGCATGTCGTGGCCACAGATGTCGGTTGCCATCTGGAATCCATATGCATCCGGATAGGCCACATGATGCCAGGATCAAGCACTAAGGCAAGTTGGAGCTGATCATTCCACTTGTGTACTGCCTCGATCACAGAAACCATGTAGAGAACAGGAGTTATCAACTCGGAAAACATTGTATAGTAAGGCTACCTGTCCATTCACATGAGACTCATACAGACAAACAGGAAGGGGAAGCTCACGCGTTTCAAATTGAAAGCATAAACTGCTTATACATGAACGCCGCGAGTTTACCGAATAAAATGGATGAGCTACGTGAACTCAGAAACGCTAATAATGCTCATCTGATAGACATATCTGAAACTTGGATATCTTCTCAGTTTACGGACCAGGAGCTAGCAATACCCGGGGTGTCTTTGTTTGGCAATGACAGAAAATCAGGAATTAGGGGTGGAGCAGCTTTATACTTACGATTCTGCTTGGAGGAACGTCAAGTGCACAATCAAGAGTTTATCAATCTTGATGAATCCACATGGTGCTCAGTAAGATTGTCTACCACCTCGAGGTGTCTAGTTGGAGTCATCGACAGGAAGCCCACTGCTGACATCGAGTACGACAATCGTATGCTGGAAGGATTATTCCGCTCTACTCGTCTCGGATTCACCCATGTCTTGATTTTAATGACATCCATCTTCCTAAGGTCAATTTCGCGGAACATACGTACATTGGAGATGAAAACTGTACTGAAGCTGGATTCTCCAATCTCATTGAGGATCTGGGATTATTGGAGAATTTGAAGTGGGCAACTCGTTGGAGAAACAGTCAGAGCTGTCGCGCTGAGACTGGGCATTTACAAACGAAGAATTCCCAGTTGACAACCTCTTTGTTGTAACGGGTGGTTTGCAGGTTAGATGCGCGGCGTTTTATTGATCGATTCGGTGGCACGTAAACACGTACGAACGACCTAGAGTCCTGATTGGTCCCGCCTCCCTGTCTAGCCCAGCCAGTTGAGTCCAGAACACAAGTCACAACCTCTGAGATATGAATCGTTATATTTCAAACACACTCTGCTTATATACCAATCAATTATACCACGTCGTACCATAAAATAGGAAAGAACATTTTGTACAATATTTAACAAGTGAACAAATATCGACCAATAGGAAATGTCCATTTAAAGTCCGAGGACACCATTGGACTTAACATGATAATTATTGGTATATTCCTCTGCATCCCTAACACTCTCAATCCTGGCTCGGCTGGAGTAAAGCGATCATGCCGTCACAGCCTTCAGTTTTATCAGCAAAAATGAGCTAAGACATCCCAACAACAACAACAACAACAACAGGCTCTGGAATTTCAAACGGTTGAATGTGTCAGCTTTACAAGAAAATCTACAACAGGTTGGTTGGGAAATTTACCCTCAACTTGATGTGGAGGTACAGTGAGATTTCTTACTGCACGCGATCTCATGTGCTATAATACTGTATGTTCCTCAAATGGTCCCTAAATTCTACAAGCAACCCACAGTTATCAAGAACCGCACTGTTCGTTTGCTAGGCGATAAAGGCACTGCTGGGTGGAATACAAACGAACTGGTAGCAACGGCGCATACATGCAATGTAAACATATAAGAAACGTATGCACAAATGCAATGAGAGAAAACAGGCTTCAGTACCAGATAAAGCTCATCGATAAATTTGTCTCCAATCCGAAAAGCTTATTCCGTTATGCAGCTTCTCTTCTACAAGCCAAAACTGGGGTTCCCCAATCACTAAGTCCTAATGGTCCGACCAACAACGACGGTAACGCCGCTAACCTTCTGGCTGAACAATACTCTCGGACAGTTCAACCGACTCACATTAACTATGTTGGTGAAAGCTCCATCTGCAACTGCACTGGAGTCTCCGAAGTGAACCTGAGCGCTGACTTGGTGTACCGGAAACAGCGGCTTCCGAGAAAAGACATTTATCCTGGTTCGGATATGGTTCATTGTGCTATACCGAGGGAAGAAGCTTCAATTCTGAAAACGCCGCTTAGCATGGTGTTCTCACACTCTCTAAGCCAAGGTACACTATGAGAAATTTTGAAGCAGGCACATACCACACCACGTTTCAGAGGAGATCGATGCAGTGAACCTTCAAGCTACCAACCTGTGGCACTTCTCTTTATACCCTCACAAATTATGGAGACCCCGTCATGAGACGGTATACACGACTATTTATTGTCCTTAAACTTTTTTCACCTCAACAGCACGGTTTCAGAAAGGGTCATTCTTGTATAGTGAAGTTGCTGACTGCAGTGAACGGATGGACAACCATTCTTGATCACAAAGGGAAGGTTGAGGTCATTTACCTTGACTTCTCAAAATATTTCGATAGGGTCAACCATATATATCTTATCAATAAGCCCAAACGATTAGGTATCAAATCACCTTTAATTTACTGGCTCATTTGAAATCTAAGAAATCGACATTTTAAAGTCAGGGTTAACTTCACTTTCTCTCAGGCTATGGGATTTCTTAGTGGGGTCACCCAGTGTTTCTGTCTTCTTGAATTCTTACTGTACCGTGTAGTCGGATAGCGCACAAGTGTCTTCAATAACATATGAGTAATATCATCTTAGACAGGATCAAATGATCAGCGAGATATACATCCGAAGGGATCAAGGAGAACAGGTTGCAACAGTGTATAAGTGGAGAGGTTTTCACACAGAAAACTTTCGAAAAGTGTTTTCAAGACCTGTTCGATTTCTGCACTTTATACTCCACTGGTCATGAAGAAGAAAATGCTTCACACACAAGGAATCACACATCCAAACTACTAATACACTGGAATAAAAGCTGTGTAACAAGCATAAGCATTAGAAAAATTGACGTGTGATGAGAAAAATGCTGTTAATAGCTGATAAATAATGACATCGAATACCCTCTACAACATGTAACGTGTGCGCGAAAATCAGTGGCTTGACGTCCTGACCCTCCTGATGAAAAGCTGAACCCAGGTCAAATCTACCTCCATCACCTTGAGTGGAACTAATCAAGGCGGGCATTTCGTATTCAGAGTACTCATGGTTTGTTGAATGTGTGTTGGCCTACAAGAGTTGGTAGTTTCTGAATAATTGGGTCATTTTATTTATTTTTTCACACACAAAAGAATTGGTACAAGGGGGCATCAAATATAGATGCTCCGCAGAAATCAAATGCTTTTTGTGAGGGTTGGGATTTTGCCCAGATGCCCAAACGGAAGCATAATTAGGTAGTCTAGTTGCGTCTGAAAGCCTAAAAATGTCAAATAAGCAATTTTGAGCATGTCATCTTTCTTCTCAAGTGCAAACATTGCGTTTGGTTCTTGAGCAATTGTCCATTGAGAAGCTGCCGTTATACGCATTAAGTTGAAGGTCGTATTAAATTCCGAAAATAACTTAATATCAGTAAATACATTGGCATGAAGTTCTAGGGACTGCTTACTTGTGTGAGCAAGAAAATGTCCAATGCTTGTGGTCAAGCTTACAGTTTCCTGAGCTTTTGGTCGATACATGTGAATGGTTTAGACAGCAGATGGTAACAAACCCTACTCGTTTCGCATGACCTTCAGAAGGCGCTTAACAAATTTTGACATGCAAGATGAGTACAGTTTGGTTGTATTGTAGAAAACGCACACTCACAACAGGCAAGTGAAGAGATAGGAGATTATTGTGAACAAATCTTCAACAGTTATAAAGCCAGTTTCTTTAATAATGAACAAGGTCAGGCTTCCAATCCGAATCACTAATAAGTTGTATATCGCCTCGTACTTCCGGTACTACCTAGGATATTCCTTGTCTAAATATTCTATAACCGCTTGCAAATAGCTCTATTTAAAGAGGACAGTGGTATATTTCCTCTTCGAGTAAATTTTATTGTTTTGATCGTTTATTATGTATCAAGACTACTGTTTACACTTGAATTGAATTTATTTCAGTTAAAGTATTCTTTAAGATTATCGTTCTTTCTAAAGTAATTTGTCGTCGGTACTTTTGAGTACTTTGTTTCTATTGTATTTGCTGAAACTTTTGGTTCTAACCATTTGCAGTGTTCGCAATTTTTGGTCATCAATTTCTTTTGTTTCTGGGTATTATTGTATCTAGTTTGTTCTAGAAAACCCTTGTTAGGTGGTTGGACAGTGCAAGAAAAGCAGTTGCCAATTTCCAGGTTCTCGATACTCTGTTGGGAGCAGCATACAGTGCGATGAATGCCAATGATGGTACCAAGAGGTTTGCATGAGTCTAATGGCTGCGGCCTTCAAACGTTTTAGTATATATGGTTGCGCTTGAGCATGACATTGGGTTGATAAAACAGCTGCTAAATCAGCTAATGCCTCAGGATATCTCCGTAATCACCTTGCTAAAGGTGTATAGACTAGGTAACAAAATCAAACCAGGCCTCTCAAAGTAGTATTCAAATCTCCCATCGAACGGTACTTAATACTACAGGATGGACATAAACTAAAGGGGTCAGGAGTTTCTGTCCGTAAGGACTTTCCCCGCGCAGACCGTGTAAAAAGACGAGGAGCCGGAAAAGAACTAAAACTTAGGTTAGACGCTGGCGAAGGGGACCTCAAAATTGTAAGTTTTCGGGCTAAGGTCTCGAAAAAGAATGATGACGAAGCCACCCTTAGTGCAGCATAAAGCCATTTAAATAGGCTTTGGGTGTTACACGCATAAATCAAAAGTCCTAGTGGCGATTGACCTGATCAGTGCAATGCATAGGAATCATAATCTATCAATGCAGTTGGTGTAGTAAAGTGAGAACTACGTTGGAAATCAGTTTCTGTGCAATTGGTTTAGCTCACGGTGAATGGTCTTCTGCCGGTCTCTATAGTATTAGACAGAAAGCTTTAGTCCTTTGAAATTACTGGTTGATGTACATACGTTCCGGGTGTACGTTGTGATTGACTGATTTATTAATTTTACTTTATTGTAGGACAGTTATAATAGAAATGGATCTTTCAGTTCAGAATAAAGTGATCAAGCATTTAGAAGAAATAGAAGAAGCTGGTGAAATGGTATTAGCTAAGCAACAAGAATGCATAGTTTACGACAGGAATCGGCAAAAATCACGTGAAGCTGTGCGAAAGTTAATGCAATTGGATTCAGAAAATAAACAGTGGGCGTGCTTATCTGACCAGTTCTTTCTGTTTCCATCTGTTGGATTAAGGAAAGCAATTGAGGAGGATATTAAAGTTTACGATTCTGAAATCCAGAAATTAAATCACCAATTAAAGGAAGATATTAATTGGTTACATGAACTTGAAGGTAAAGAACCCCTCAAAGGATTTGACTTGTTGCCACTACAAAATTAAAAAAACATGATACTTAACATGTGTACAAATCAAAATAAAAGTGTATATCTTTCTGCTTCATTTTTCTTCATTTTTTTTGCTTTGAGTGGTAAACTAGCCTCTGTTAACCTATTGTTCACTCAATTTCAGATGACTAATCTACTAACTTCTGGTCATAGACGTTATAACCCACTATTAGATGAATGGATTATTGTTTCTCCACATCGAATTCAACGTCCTTGGGGAGGACAAATGGAATCTGATAATCATAAACCCACAGAAGTAACTGACGTTTCTGTAAAATGTACCAAAAATCCATTATTACCCGGTTCCGTTCGTGCAAGTGGCTTAATCACACCTAATTATCAATCTGTTTACACATTTCACAATGACTTTCCTGCTTTGGTAAGTGTTTCATCTCTATCGGACATTGACAGGATTATTTATTCTAGAGAGTTTAGAAATGCTAAGGGTAGATGATTAATTAGTCACCAGGTATAGCTTTTCTCATACTAAAAAACCCTTGGATGCTGATCCTACAAACAATTAAGTGTTTGTATAAGGCAGACTAATAGTGCTTCCTACCATAAAGAAACACTGATTAGTCTTAAGAATGGTAGGTAACCAAGTTAACGTCAATGAAAATGGACACATCAAATCTACGTGGAAATGGTACTATAATGCATCGGTTCTAATTGCCTAGCTACTAGACCGAACAGCCAAACTGACGGAACGTCGATGATAATAACAATTTTAACATAGAGAAGCTGTTACTAAAGCAGGTAAAATGAGACATATTGGAAGTGTTATGAATAACACTCCAACTTTGAACTAATGTCTTAATAAGAAAGTGACGCGAGATATGTTTCCTTCGTGGCGACCAAACAGGATTGAATGTAGTTTATATTTTGGCTGAGATTTCATGTCTTGGTTGTCATGCGTGCATCCTGTACGTATCTCCCCGATATAGTCATTATGACATAAGTTTATATAAAATTAATGAAATGTGGTTAGCAGTGGAATCCAGGACTTGCATTTCGTCCTAATTTGGACTCATCAGCTAAATGCACCTACATCCTAATGCTGACACTCACTCCGGGACTCGAACCCAGTGCTTACTACATTCCATCTTTTTATATAAATTGTGTCATAATGCTATGTAGTGACAGTTTGCACAGGATGCGCATATGCCGATTTAAACTGATCGAATTTCAGTGAAAACATCAACAGCAGGATAATTCAAACCATTGTAGATTAAATTAAGAAGGATGAAATGTAATTTTTGTGTTCTATTTCTGTGCGGTATTCGAATATGATCAAAAGGCAAGATTATACCATTTATACAGTACATTTGGCATCCCCACGAGGGTTAAATACTTTAGGTTATTATCAGTTTTAAATTTCATCACCTTAATTTTAAACCTGGCTACATGGATTTTAAAAAGCTTGTTTGGAATTTAGTGATCCAATAAACTACATTTCAATTCCGAATATTTTCAAGCGGATACACGTGGCTCATGTCCAGTCTTTTCGAAGAACTAATTATAAAACTAGGTCCATTCTTGGAGTTTCCAGAGTGCACTATTTTATTGCTTTCATACATTTTATTGGAGGATCCACCTAAGGGAGTTGGAAACCCCTGATTCCAAACCAATGGTGCACATGGGCTCCAATATTCCGAGGGAGCAAACGGTGTATGAACCAATCATTGGTCACCGGCTACCATGGGACTGCATCTGCTGACGTTGCTCCACTGCCTTGTGGATTAGACCCTTAGGTCGAAGGCTCCATGTGTGGCCCCCTAAGAAAACCACTTGCTTCGGTTTGGGCACCCGGGCAGAATCACAGCCCTCACACATATCAAATGAGATCTGTGTGGCGTTTGTGTATTTGGCGCCTCCTTGTACCAATATTTATGTTTAAATAAATAAATAAGTAAATGAATAAATGTTATTGACCTAACTGAATAATTATCCACTAAAGTCTCAATGACACTCATGTTTTTAAGCGAAGTGATTATATGATTGATGACGTGCAGTGATACGATGTGGCTGTGATGGCTGCTTGCAAAAATGTATTATAACGCATGCCTCAAAATAATCTGAGATCAAAAATAGGACCACAACCCAAGAGAAAAATTTTTAATGCAATTAAATGACATGCTTCTTTGCATGATATTACACACAAGAAACATAATAGGTTACCATATGCGACTGAAGAAAATCAGTTTATAGGTCAGTCATTCTATAATCTGTAAGATCTCGTTGTTAGACTTAATAATTACACGTCATCAGACAATTACTCGACTGATAAGTGATGCTATACTACTTCTATGTACTGCGACATTGGCACATTGATCTATACAATTGATTAGCAGTCATTGAATCACAGGTTTAAACATCTCTTCACTCACTTAATAACTGGTTAGTGCTTCAAAGCTTTAAACAATCAACGTAGCTTCAAGCCCACTACATAACTTTGCTGTTGGTTACTCATTTGCATTAAATTCAATTAGTTCTTTAACCAATTTTACTACTGTTATTCTTTGTTGATTGTGAATTAATACTGTTTAGGTTAATGTAAACTGCGAATGTGAAAGTGTTAGTTTAACGAGCTTCAGATCTGTTGAAGAAAATCCATTATTTGCATGTGCGCCTGCACAAGGTGACTGTTTAGTTACTTGTTTTCATCCAGATTCTAATAAAACCTTAGCGCTGATGGAACAGCGTGAAATACTATCAGTTATTACTGAATGGTGCCGTATTACTGAAAAATATTTTAAAATGAAAAAATTTCAATGGCTGCAAATTTTCGAGAATCGAGGCGCAGCTGTTGGTTCGTCTAACACGCATCCGCATTGCCAGGTAAATTATGAAACCGAAATGCTTTCTCACTTAAAAATTATCTTGCTCTTCTATGTTTTCCTTTCGCCTTTGAAATTTAATTAAAGCTAATTACATCATTCCTAATACAGCTAGTCTCATCTGTAACCCACCCCAAATATCACAGACTCACTTTGTCTAACCAGACTGATTCGCCAAATTGCACTTTCCGTCCATCTTTTTAACCTCCCTACTTTGTGAGTAGTCTTCATTTAATACCGATGCTAATTACCGTTCCTGATATTCGTGATTTTTGTCATAATGTAATGGCAAGACTATAACCTAGAAACGTTCTTGTCTAGAAACTAAATACTTAGTTTTTTCTCTTCTGTTCTATTCAATAATTAGGCTTTACTGTCAACCAGAAACATACTCATCTACACAAAAAGTACTACATTTCTTTATTTGTTTTGATTATTTATAAGAACGAATAATTTTTGTTGTTTGTCCTTATTGTACACTTGTAATCAACATTCTTGTAGTTCATCTTTGTTAACAGTTCTGTGGCATAGGCATTTATATAAACAACATAATATGTGTTTCTTATTATATTAATAACAATGACTGTAACAGACCTGTGTAATTCGCTTAGCTAATATCTTAAATTAGTTTACTTATGTAATGTATAAGTTAAACGACTAATCGAAGTCCTGATTTGTAATTTAGAAATATTGGCATTTTATGATGACAATCTGTTGCTCATATTTTTTTTAAAATATTTATATAATGTTATTCATAGTCATATATTACTATCCAGTCAGTCCGTTTCCCAAAACGTGGCAGTTGTATTATAAAATACAGATTTTAATAGTTGAGATCGTGAGTCAGTTGACGCTGGAGCACCATGGAAATCCGGATGCATTGGACGGCTGTTTCGTCCTATTCTGGGACTCCTCAGCAGTGCGCGTCCGTGATGATTCGAATCTAGGACCTATCGGTCTCGCGCGCGAACGCTTAACATCTAGATCACAACAGACCCGGTTGAACTCCACTGGTCACCGCTTCTCACTAGAACTCTATGAAATACTTCTTGAAGCCAGTCACCAGTGGGCATATGCTAATTAATATGAGAAAGGGTTTGTGTGGATATTATAGTAATTTTAATAGTTTAGATCGTGAGTCAATTGAAACTAGACCACCATGGAAAACCTGGAATCACTGGACTGCCATTTCTCCCTGTTTTGGACTCCTCAGCAGTGCACATTCACGATCCCGCCTCGCGAGATTAAAACCCAGGACCTATTGGTCTAGCTCCATGATATAAACTATTAAAATTACTATAATATCCACAAAAACCCCTTCAAATACAGAATTGTTTATTTACCTATTACCCGTACATATTGAGTGATACCAGAGGATTATATATGGCTGCGAAAAACTCAGTAGTTTGAGTAAAGCTTGAACTCTTGACTTTGTGGTCTATCAGGAGGTTCCTGTTTATTTTATTTGTCGTTTAAATCATCACCAATCAGTCCCAACCGCACTAAGTTTTCCAGCTGTTGTCACTGTGTATTTCCTGTTATGTATCATCTTAGAAATTAAAGCAAGTATGAAACCTAGGCATAGGTTAACTGTATTAGCTCTCACCTTTTCATTGTTGCGTGTGACCAATTTTAACATGATAATCCTCTTTCTTCCTCGAAAAAGCCTTATTGTCTAAAAAAGCTACTAAGAGTCGAATACTGCAAAAGATAGATCCAGTTTCATCAAAATAATCTAGTAGAGGTCTAGATTAATATTTTGTTTGTTTTTAACCTCAAGTGTAAAATTTATTGCTGGGTGACAGTTATTATATAAATGTTTTTAGAAGATGACTCAAATAATATTTGTTGTCACAAATGATAAAGATATCATCTACGTACCTTTTATACAAGTGGAACTTTTATATAGTCGTTTTAAGTTGATTGTTTTGTAGACTGTCCATGAAGCAGTCTGCTAGCATTGGATGAAGAGGGGATCCCATTGTTATGCCATCCTTTTTTCTGTGAATCACGTCGTTGAATGTGGACTGTACATTGCAAGTGAAACGTAGTAGTAGTTCTTTCAAATAAATTTACAGTGTTCTGATGTTAGTTACATTATTATTTACATAACTGCAAATAAAACTGATGGTCTCTGTGAGTGGGACATTAGTGAATAGTGATTCGACATGCAGAGATAGCATAATTTTGTTATTTACATTCCCTCCTGTATGTGTTCTATAAATTCGAAAGTATCATATGTAGAGTGTCTAAAAATGCATTTTTTTTACGGGTTCTAGGAGATCCGCCAGCCACTGTGTTATAGAGTGGTAAGGGCATCCGGACATATTCAGAATTGGTCTGAGAGGTAGACCAGATTAGTGTATTTTAGGTAGACCATATAATCGCGGTATTATTGATCCTGTTGTTTTTATCCGCTAAAAGGCATGTTCGTCGATTGACTGATCATTTTTCATTTTCTTAAGAACTTCAATCAATTGCTTTTCTATTATTTCAGTCTTGTTTTTCTCATTGATTGGTTTGGAGAATTCGGTGTCATCATATAGTAGCTGATCCTACATTTTACGTGACAGAAGATGTGCTGTGGATACATTTGCAAACAACACGTCAGTTAACTTCTTAAAGTTCAAATAAGATATAAAATACGTCGTAGTTGCAATGTATCTAACGTAGTTTTTAGTCTGACAGAAGTTGTAGAAGTGTTTTAAATCATGTCAAACTAAATACTGCAAGTATCCTAGGATAGAAGTGTTGAGATTAAATGGATTTACTTCTATACGAACTGTTCTAAAGTATTGGTCCTTAAATTATAGTCTTTTTTACTTACTTACTTGCTTAAATCTGTTACTCCCAATAAAGCATAGGCTGCCGACCAGCATTCTCCAACCCACTCTGTCCTGGGCCTTCCTTTCTAGTTCTATCCAATAACTGTTCATTCTCATTTCTGTCTCGATTTCTCGACGTAATGTGTTCTTTGGTCTTCTTCTTTTCCTCTGACCTTGAGGATTCCACGTGAGGGCTTGCCTTATGACACAGTTGAGTGATATCAGCCCTCATACCCGTAACAGCACACGAGACCAAGTTGGTCACATTCAAATCCTTCCTACACCTCCTAATACCTCTCTTATCTCCATGACTAACCCTCCTCACGTCTCTTTATCACCTCGCACCGCTAGGGCAAACGATTCGAGTACGTGGAACGCCATTCCTGGTCTCCTGAAACCACGCTCTAAACTACACGTAGGAGCTTTTAACGTACGAACACTTTGCCAAATAGGACAGCAGGCTTCCTTAGCTAAAACTTTAGAATCTCGCGCCATCGATGTGTGCTGCGTCTCCGAAACGCGCATACAGGATCCGAGTAGCGTCATTCATTTGACCTCACCATGCCAAAATAAAGAACCGACTCGATTTACGCTTCGTGTATCTGGAAGCCCTGATTCTGCTTCCCGTGGCCTCGCCGGCGTAGGTATAGCATTGAGTCCTAGGGCAGAACTAGCTCTCTTAGAGTGGATCCCAGTAGACAGTCGTTTGTGCGCTGTCCGACTGAACGGAACAGTAAGAATCCGGAAAGATAGGGACACTCGTCGTCTCTGCCTATTCTCCCACTGACTGCAGCTCAGATGATGTAAAAGATGAGTTTTACAGAAAGCTTTCGGACCTTCTCCGAAAAGCTAGGCGCTCGGATGTAGTAATAGTGGCCGGTGACTTTAATGCTCAAGTAGGTAAACTAAGCGATAGGGAAAGACACCTAGGTGGATCTTATGGTGTCGTGGCTCAAAGAACAGATAATGGCGACCGTCTGTTGCAGCTATGCTCAGATAACCGCCTGTTCCTTGCAAATACTAACTTTAAGCATAAGGAAAAACATCTTTTAACATGGCGACCCCCTAATTCGTCCCAACGTTGGACCCAAATAGATCACATCGCTATCAGCCACCGATGGAGGGGCTCGATAGAAGACTGTCGCTCATTCTGGAGCACATGCCTAGATTCAGATCATGCTCTAGTGCGAGCGCGTATTTGCTTGCGTCTTACTGGACGTAGGAAAGACGCTGCAAGGAAACCTCTTAGGGCCTACTTAATGATAGTCAAGCTAAGAGTATATTTCAGGAACAACTAGGAAAACAGTTAGGCAGCCATGTATGTGATGCCCACCCCGATGCAGCATGGAATGATATCCGAAAAGCTGTGGAAACAGCAGTGATATCTGCTAGTAAGGTAAACCAGAAGGTTAGGGAGCAACACTGGATCTCAGCAGCATCTATCGCACTGATAGATGCTCGGAAACTCATTCCACCTGGCTCTGAACATAATGAAGAGCGGAGTCAGCTTAAGCGCAAGCTGACAAGAAGTCTACGCAATGATCGCGAACAGTGGTGGGTAGCGAAAGCAAGAGAGATGGAAAAGGCAGCGGCAATAGGTAATAGCAGACAATTGTTCAGACTCGTTAAGGAAACCGACCGTTAGCGAAACAATCTCAGAGAAAGATGGACATATTATTCATTCTCAATCCAGGAGATTGGATCGATGGGCAGAACACTTTAGGGATCAGTTCAACTGGCCTTCAGCCACACTTCGGTTTCCCACGATCTCCAGTCAACCTGAATGGCAAGTTAATGTAGGTCCTCCGTCCCTTTACGAAGTTGAAAAAGCCATAGGAAATCTGAAACGAGGGAGAGCAGCAGGCCCTGACAGGTTTACTCCTGAGATTTTTAAGGATGGTGGTCCAGTATTAGCAATGAGATTAACTGAGGTCTTAGGTAGAATTTGGGAACTGGACGTAATCCCATCTGACTGGTCTCAATCACTGATTGTGCCAGTCTATAAGAAAGGACAAAAGTCCTCTTGTGACAATCACAGAGGAATCAGTTTGACTAATATAGTGTCTAAAATATTAGCTTCAATAATACTTCGACGCCTAACAAAGCTCGTGAAGAGCAGACTAGAGAAAACCAGGCTGGTTTTCGACCTGGACGTGGTTGTATAGATCAGATATTCACACTACGTCAGGTTCTAGAACACAGACACACATTCAGACGCCCCACAATGGTAGTATTTCTCGACCTTAAGGCGGCATTCGACTCTGTTGATCGTGAGGTTCTATGGCAGTGTTTGTCACTGAAAGGAGTACCAAAGAAGTACATTAACCTTATAAAGGCTCTCTACTCGAACACAACTGGTAGAGTGAGAGCTTATGGCGAACTGTCATCAGAATTGATTACCTCAAGTGGTGTTCGTCAGGGCTGTCCACTCTCCCCATTCTTGTTCAACTTTGTGGTCGACGTACTTTTAGAGATAACACTCTCCTCATCTAAATTTCCAGGGGTTGAACTTCTACCGGGAGGTTCACTTGTTGACTTAGAATATGCTGATGACATAGTTTTATTTGGTGAAGACGCTGACAAAATGCAGAGTCTTCTGACCACTCTAAGCAACAATGCAAGCATGTTCGGGATGCGATTCTCTCCCTCGAAATGCAAAATGTTGCTTCAGGATTGGGTTACATCGACACCCGAACTAGTGATAGGGAGTGAAGTAGTTGAGTGTGTCGACCGCTTCACTTATCTTGGAAGTCTCATCAGCCCTTGTGGTTGGTGTGTGACGAAATCTCAGCACGGATACAGAAGGCTCGACTAGCTTTTGCCAACTTGCGTCATTTATGGCGTAGGCGAGATATCCGTCTATCAACCAAAGGACGTGTTTACTGCGCAGCAGTTCGTTCCGTCCTACTTTATGGCAGTGAAACATGGCCGGTAAGAGTAGAGGATATTCGTAGGTTACTAGTATTTGATCATAGGTGTCTTCGAAACATTGCTCGTATATCATGGGACCATCGAGTAAGTAACACAGTTGTTAGGAAACGGGTACTAGGTAAGGATGGCAAATCAATTGATGAAGTAGTGAAACTTCATCAGTTGAGATGGCTGGGACACGTGTTACGTATGCCCAACGACCGACTGCCTCGACGTGCTATGTTCAGTGGTATAGGAGTAGGTTGGAAGAAAGCTAGGGGCGGCCAAACCAAAACATGGCACAAGTCCATGAAGTCACTGACAAGTGGACTGAGTCATGTTGGTAGGTGTAGACTACCTGGTTGGGGACCGCGAGATGATAGCAACCGATGGTTAGAGACCCTGAATGACATGGCTCAAAATCGTTTGCAATGGCGCAGGTGCATCCACTCTCTGTGTTCTCCCAAATTCTAATCTTCTGAATTCTTCATGTCCCTTTCTTTTTTCTCTTTCCAAATTTATTTCACTGGATTATACTCTTTAAATAACATCTCCAAACCCTAATTTTCCCGATTACTGCTTATACTCTTACTACCTCTACCACTACGGGATTTGAATCGACCACTGCATCTCTGTGCTAATGTGGTGTGGCAACTCGAACTGATGTACGTACGTACGAAGTTCTACGTTGGTACTGACTGAGGTTGTTGCTGATAATGTCTGGCCGACGGATCCTAAGTATTTTGTGAAGACAGCTGTTAAACACCTGTATCTTCTGGATGATGGCTTTCTTAGTTCTCCAAGTTTCCGCGCCATACAATAGAACTGTCTTGAAATTTGTATTGAAAATTCTGACCTTGGTGTTGAGTGACAGTTGTTTTGAGTTCCAGATGTTCTTCAATTGTAAATATGCTGCTCTTGCCTTGCCGATCCGCGCCTTCACATCTGCATCAGATCCACTGTGCTCACCAATGATGCTACCCAGATAAATAAAGGTTTTTACATCCTCCAAAGCTTCTCCGTCAATTGTGATTGGATTGGTGCATGCTGTGTTGTATCGGAGAATCTTGCTCTTCCCTTTGTGTACATTGAGACCTATTGCTGCTACACTGATCGTCTTCCGCATTTGTTGTTGCGTGTGCGATAGGAGAGCCAGATCATCTGCGAATTCTAGATCGTCCAGCTGCATCCTAAATGTCGACTGTAACCCATGCTTCCCCACAGATGTTGACGTCTTTATGATCCAGTCGATCACCAGGAGAAAGAGGAAGTGTGAGAGTAATTAACCTTGCCTGACACCGGTCTTTACTTCGAACGAGTTTGTCAACTGTCATCCATGCAGGATTTTGCAGTTTAGTCCATCATTGGGATTCCGTATGATATTGACTATCTTCTCAGGCACTCCTTAGTGTCAAATAAGCCTCCATAGTTTTGTCCTGTCTACACCATCAAATGCTTTCTAGTAGTCAATGAAGTTAAGTCCTTTGTTGCACACTTTTCGACGATTGACTGGTCTATCGTAGAATTGATCTTTAACGTCTTCATTGTAGTCGTTGGTTGGTGCATAGCATTGGATGACATTCATTGTAATGCCCTCTTTCTTTGTTTTGAAGGGGGCTTTGGTGATCCTCGGTCCATGAGATTCCCATCCTATAAATGCATTTTGTGCTTGTTCGGATAGCATCAATGCAACTCCTTGTGCATAACTCTTCTAAATGGGAGACCTAACTCCCAGGGTTGAGTTTAAATGGTTTTAATAGTTTTTTTGTAGTTAGCGTTTTCTAGCGAGTTGGTTTTCTACGGGACGGGGTCGATAACCCCATGCCAAACCCTCCTTTATCTGGGCTTGGGACCGGCAGTAGCCTAAGAGGGGCTCCAGGCGGAGTTAAATTCTAGTCTAAAGTTCTTTATTTTACTGTGGCTCTGGTATTGGGAATTTAAGTTTCTGAACATTGACCTTGATCAGTATATACGCAGACACTTCTTGAGCTAACAACGATGTTTGACTCATAGTGATAAATTTTTCTTTGTATCATTATGCGACCTCATGGGGGTCTAGTTAATCGAGTCATTCTTATAGTACCCTCATCCTCATCGATCTAGTCTATTATAGTACATTATGTTTATTGTGTATCTTATTAGTTCTTAGTCCAAATGTAAATGAAATTTTTAAAATTGTTGTCTGTACTAAATACTTCATTCTTTTATCTTTTGATAATGATGGTGTAATCTACATGTAAAAAGTAAAACACTTGAAATCTGTACAAGTTTCATGCTGTTTAGATTGTATTCTTTATATTCCAAGTCGTAATCATTTGTACAACATTAGTGTTTTCTCTTTTGGTTTCAAATAGTAGCTCTCCTCAAATAAAATAATTAAGATCCAGCTGGGCGTCTTTAACATCTGCTATGGCGCCTTAGTGCTCCTATACAGAGTTAGAGTGTCAACAAACAAGCTATTCATGCTTTTTGTACAGAATATCGATTTTGTTCTCAATTTTCATGAGTAGCAAAATTACAGTACTTTTGAGACCTTCGTCTCCACTGTCTCATCTGGTTGACTGGCCAAGTCACAAATGCTGATGATGAAAGTATTAATACATTGAGGATCGTTACGTTTCCGTGAAATGGTCTCGGACCACAATTACTTTGTAACTCAGTTAAGTATGGATGAAATAAAACCACTTAAATTAGTACCACAAAATATATCTCAGTAATATTTTCTAGTGTTAATCACTATCTCTCCTGGATTGTTAATTTTTATTGCTAATCTTTTTTCGTTTTTATTACAGATTTGGGCATGTGGTTTTATGCCATCGCAAGTGTTAAGACTTGATAAAATCAACAGAATTATGCTCTGCAACATAATGGTATACCTTTGCTGTTGGATTATGCTATGCAAGAAAAAGTGAATATGAATAATTGTACATCAGATTCACGTATAATTATCTGCTCAACTCATTGGCTCGTTATTGTTCCATGGTGGGCATGTTGGCCTTTTGAAACAATGATTTTACCTCATAAACGTCATATTCTCTGGTTACACGAATTAACTGAAGATGAGAAATATGACCTCGCCTCCGTAATGCAGAATTTACTTGTTCGTTATGATAATCTATTTAGCACACAATTCCCGTATTCTATGGGTTGGTATCAGGCACCTATGTGCTCCTCCAAAGAGGAGTCCTTGGGAGATCTAAAAAGTAAATATAAACATTGGCAGTTACATGCTTTGTATTTACCTCCCCTGTTAAGATCATCTACAGTAAAAAAATTCATGTCTGGTTTCGAGTTATTAGCGGAAACCCAGCGAGATTTACTACCAGAAACAGCTGCAAATATGCTTCGTGAAACTAGTACAATCCATTATACTAAACGGGTATTATAAACATGTTTCCGAGTCAGTATATCACTGTCATGATTAAAGGGCTTTCATTTCGTTTTGCAATTTTTTAATGTTTATAATGACTGTACTTTTAATATTTTGAACAGAAATATCTCGAGGTGTTCCTAAAGAGTATTTTTTATTTTGTTAATATTTTCTTGATGCTTTATTAACTTTAAATATAATCTGTTTTGAACCACAAGCTATTATGTTTCTTTCGAATTTCGTATATCAGTTTGACGAAATAATTAATGGGCATCTCATGATGCACAAGTTTTGTACTTCAGTCCAATAATTTCAATCGTTTTTTGGAGGTTTATTTGAATCCGCCCCCTCATTATCCAATTATGTCAAGAAATTCCGAATAATATGATTTCTTATTTGTTATGTTTTATAAACATAGTCATGCATAATTTTCGAACTTTCGATTGTAGCTCAATTATTTCTAAGAAAGCTTTTTTGTTTGACTAACGTTTTTAATCTTTAGAACCAATTCCAATTAATTTAGACTGAACAGACAAGGACTACTAATCATCGTAATATGAGTGTGACTCAGTTTGTTGTATATGAATGTATGGGGATGTTTTATTATATTTTATAGTTGGCCAGTCAGTATTATCTGAAATGTTAAAATAGGCACATATTGGTAAATAAACGTTTCTTAAAACCCTTCGGATGACGTTTGAGATAAGTTGTTACTGTTACTTTCCCAGTGAAAATAATTTCGAATAATTCCTTGATAATATTGTTGTTAGATGCACCTGATGCAGCCTCTTTTATGATTAACTTATAGTAACAGATCCTAGTTTCTCATACTCAATAATTGGTTAGTAATACCCTCTTTCAATTTTTCATACTTAATATTCATTTATTATCACTCCCAAGCTTTTATTTATGTCCTTCAGTATGAGAAATTCGGGCTTTCAGTATTTCAAAAAATAGTATAACTTTATGGAAAAGTTGGTGGTTATCAGTTCGTCGAGCTTTGATTATTCTCACCGCTTAAAACTGTAATAACTTGGCCTAGAAGTACCACAGATATATTTCTCGAAGTTTTTGGTCGTCAAGGTTGATAATCACCACGTAGCTCAACGCCAACCATTTTAGTTCTGTTCGATGAATGTCACAAAGAAACTTGAAGCAGAATGAAATGGGTGTCCGATAAGTTATACTGACTCCATATAGGACGATTAGAGAGTGACGATATATTTTGTTAATAGGTCTTTTCACGCAGGAATTTTCCATAAAGTAAATCATAGTATTGCATTTGACAATATAATCTCTGTACATTAAAAAAACTGTACAAATTAACTTAGTGATAAACTGATGAATGAAAAAACCACTAACACAATGAGTAACTACTAGGAAATATTAGAAATGGACGAAATCAACTTTGTGATCAACTATCAGTATCAATACCAATGTTTGACTTGATAGTATAAAAAAACAAACGATATTCATGAATTACTTATAACTATAAGGTTATAGGATATTTGTAGTATACCATTGAGTGACAAATTAAAATTATGGTGTTTCGCGACTTAGTGAGAGTTGCTTTTCCATTGAATTAATAAGCGAATAAAATTAATATAAATTTAGATAGTAAAAAGAAACAAATCAAAGTTTAACCGAAATAAATCTGACTATACTAATTGTTATGTCCTAGCAAAGATTAAATTATGAGTGGCTTCTGGGAACTGTTTATGGATAACTACTAAGTAACTATATTATATGCATATTCATATTCCTTTTATCATAAACTTACATTTGACCCATTGACTACTATTTGATTCACTATTCTTAAGTTATTTCCAATATATTAGTTACAGTATCTCACAAACACTTTGGGTCTGATCTTGTATAATTGTTATTTCCTGTTTTATGGTTTAATGCGGTCTGATTTGCTTGTAAATAAACTGCGTAAGTCTGAAATACATGATTCACATAGTAGAAACTTTGTTCTGAACTCAAACAGTCACGGCTAGGCGGAAGGACCAATGAGGACTCAGAGTTGGCTGTTCGCACTAGTTTATCCGTCATTGGTTCTAATTGAGCAATCTAATCACGTGATATAATTAACAGTTTATAGAACACAATACTAATATCATGTCATTCAAGTCAAATGTGATGCAATGTGTGAGTGTCTTTATATGTAATAATGCGTACGTAAGTTGATACATAAAAATGATATTGATAATGTAAATGAGTTAATTTTTATTTATGTTCATAGTGCGATATTTGAATAGGTCAAGATGTTATTGTTCGGAACTTCCTCAGACTGATAAATACATTTCCAGTTCACTTCACATTCACTATCGAAAATGGAGATGTAGAAGACGAGCTACCATCTTTTGACTTTTGTTAAAAGTAATTTTAGGATATCTCTAAATCTGACCGTCTAATTTAAACGGACACAGCTCCTATGATTCTCTCGACAGTTTAGTCCGAACTTCAGGGAAATGATCACAATTACCGAATATTAGTAGGGTCCAGAAAATAGCTGTTCACTAATTATCCAGTCATGTTAAAATATTGACACATGGGTCTTCCAAGTATTTATGTGAGCCGTTTGATGTGAAACGTATTAAAATAGTGTAAAGGGTGTTTGAAGATCTGACGTGAAAAGGTTACTGATTGTTTTTAAAAGATAAAATTGGTCACAAATCAAGCTTTTCAGAACACTCGTTTAATGAGAATAAAAAAGCGTATTCGTGCTAAACTGATTGTTCACGAGATACCCAAATAAAATAACTGATTAAAATATGTTTGTACGTTGTTGTTCTTCACAAAACAGATTAAAAAAGGCAGTGCATTTCATTTATATTTCCTAATTATTAGTTACCGTGATCCAGTTAATTGTTCTCCATATCATTATTTAGAGTATCTAGGTTTGCCCATATGCCTAGATTTTCGGCCGTCAATCTTTATAAGAAATAAAACCTTTCTAAACAATCTGTGTCCCGTGAAATTCGATTACGTATCCTCTTTCTACAAGATATAGTGCGATCGTAGATTTTTTCTAGATTTAGTAATATGGTTCAAATATAGTTTGTGTTCCTTCACTTTCGTGATGTCTCATCTGCATTTACAGAACTACAGTTAGTCCATTTAAACTCATGGGCACGAAACTTGTTCTTTACTTGATATTGTATTTTTGACTTTAGCTAAAACAAAACTACTGTTCATTGGAAAATTTGGTTTCATATTTTGATGGTTTATGATATATGATCCTTCTGATTCCAACCGAAGTTCTTTTTGGGGTATGTGCTAACCACCGAGCTAATCAATTTTTTTAGTCGGTCTTTCACTTTTTGGCCTTCTTGATTATTCTCTTTATAAAGCTTTTTATATAACGATACATTATGAATACCGAATTCGTCAGGGAGCACCAGTTCCATCAAGATTACAGGTACACCTTGCTGACGAGCGCCAAGTAGCACGAAACCCGGGTCCAGGGTTTCCTATCGACTACCTTCAACCACCATCTAATACATTATAGATATAGGCCTAACCAAATTTAACCCTTTTCCTTTGTCTTCCGGTTCTACGACAGTTGAAGACGTTAGATCCTCATAATTCACTTGGAGAAGGTCCTAATTTCATTTTGAAAATTTGGATTTTATGTTTTTGCGCCAAGAGACGCTTAGTTGACCTACAGCTTAAATTTCCCACTCGGAATAGCGCGCTATTTAAAAAGGACAGTGGTATTTTTCCTCGCTGAGTAAATTTCATTGTTTTGATCGTTTATTACGCATCAAGACTACTGTTTTTCACTTTAATTGAATTTATTTCAGTTAAAGTATTTGACTAAAGTATCGTTTTTACTGTTTTTGTCGTTGGTACTCTTTAGTACCTCTTTTTCAACTGTATCTGTTAGTACTTTTGGTCCTAGCAATCTACAGCTCTTCACTTTTTTGGTCACTGATAATATTTTTGTTTCTGGGTATCATCGCATATTGAAAATACCCCTCCTAAATGACCGGACAGTGTAAAAAAAGCAGTTGACAACGTCCGGGTTGTCGTTATCCTGTTGAAAGCGGCATGCAGTGCGACGAGTGCAAAGGCTGGTACCACGAAGTTTGCACGAACTTAACGCCTGCTGCTTTCAAACGGTTCAGTAAGAAGGGTTGTGTGTGGCTTTGTCAACAGTGCTGCTCGGATGCAAACAGCTTGTTAACCGAGGCCATCTCACTGGTTGATGCTGCAAAGAAGTGTTTCAACAAGCATAGTCGGAACGCGTCAAACAGCACTCGATCTGTTGACACGCAAATCAATGTGAAGGAAACTAAGGTGAGTCCGGTGATAGATGACTCACGCCCGACAAAGAAGGAAAAGCAGTCTCCAAAGGGGCCTGCCTTAAAAAAAAGCTCAAGAAAAGTAGGGTCTTCTGTTCCCCGTCTCCCAGATGGGATCCAACAGGAAACACCTAGGAGCCGCAATCGCAAGGCTCGATCGGTTTCAAATGGTAAACATAACACGACCCCTCAGGTCGTCGACAACCCCCCAAAACCCAACACTAGGTTTGACGCAACTGCTATTGCTTCTACCAGCAGCGTTGACGAATGGGTAAAGGTTGTAAGGAAGAAAAGTATTGATATAAAAGGGAAACCTGCCCCCGTAAAAGTGGTTGAAAAATCGAAAGCTGATGATAGCGACAGATCAGCTATTTTTCATAGAATTAAGGAGAGCGATAGCTCTGAACCTAAAGCTCGTTTTGAGCATGACATTGTACTGATTAGGCAGCTGCTTAATCAACTCATGCCTCAAAATATGACTGAGGTCACCTTGCTAAAGGTGTATAGACTAGGGAGTCTAACGGACTCGAAATCAAATCATTCCAAACTGCTTAAAGTAGTATTCGGCTCTTCAAATGAACGTGACCTAATTTTACAAAATGGACACAAATTAAAGGGTTCAGGAGTCTTTATCCGAAAGGACCTACCGTTGGCAGACCGTGTTAAAAGACGGGAAGCCGAGAAAGAACTACAACATAGGTTAGACGCTGGCGAAAAGGACCTGAAAATTGTAAATTTTC